ACCAGGTATGTGCTTATGTGTATGTGTGTGTGTGCATGTGTGTATGTGTGCATGTGTGTATGTGTGCATGTGTGTATGCGTGTGTGTATGTGCGCATGTGCTAGCGTGTGTTGCAGTTCTTGCTTCTGCTCGTCCCTCACTTGATGTATTTGTGTCGTGGTGGTGTTCAGGTGCCTGCAAGCAGTGGGGGACGCATTGCCGTGTACGGCGACAGCTCATGTGTTGACGACAAGTACAACTCGGCGCACCACACGTGAGTCATATCAAACGAGGGCTGATGTGCCGCGTTTGCTCCGGGCAGCGAAAGAGATTGTACGCTGCTGTTTGTTGTCCAAACAACCAACCTGCACACGCACACACGCGCAGATGTCTCACTGACGCTTGCTCCTACACACATACACACATCCACATCCACGCATACACATACACATGCATGCACACACGCACACACATGTACACACACGCACACGCGCGCGTACACACACGCACACATGTACACACACTCTCTCTCTTTTGCCACAGTGCGCGGTGTGTGCCGCTGATTCAGGATCTGCTGGAGTACGTTCTCGACCACAACGACCGAGGAGAGAATTTGATCAAGGTGCATGTGACTTGCCGTGGCATCACGTTGTCATGGCAGCCGCATTTCGTGTGCTGCGACTCGCTCTGTGTGTGTGTGTGTGCGTGTGCTGTACTCTCTCACATGTTCATGCAACAGTCGCATTGCCTTCTGATGCGTTCCGCCCTCACCCCTTTCGCACACACATACATGCTCGCACAAACACGCTCGCACAAACACACACACACACAACGAGACAGTTGGGCCAGGTGATGCAGCGGGACTTGCGCCCGCACCCAAACGCCCAGCCACGCCGCAGCGACAACGCCACACTCCACATCTACTCTCGCGTCCTGCAGGTGAGTCATATTGGGTTGCAGGTTGCAGGAGGTGGTGGTGCATGGCGATCGAGAGTTGTTGTGGCGCCATGAATTCGCCAAGTAGCCTCCCCTTCCCAACACAAACACACACACACACACACACACACACACACACACACACACACACACCCTTGCCTCTCACCCACCATCATGTACGTCCATCGACGTGATTGCCAGGCGCCGAGCGAGCAGGCCCCGCTGCCCATATGCTCGCACGACAAGTGGATCACCCCAATCATGGATGGCGGTGTTGTGCAGACAACGCGCACTCCACCACACGATGCACCCCGCCAAGACGTCAGCGCTCGCATTCAGCACGTGCGCCCCGCTGATGAGGTTGGCGATGGCAGTGGTGCTGGTGCTCGTGGCGGTGGCGGCGGCGGCGGCGGCGGCGGCCTGTCGCCGATATCTGCTGCTGTGCTGTTGCTTCTTGGAATGGCTGTCGGCGTTGTTGCCTTCGTCGGCTTCAAGCGATGGCGTGCGCGGAGACGCGGCAGTGCTGTTGAGCGCGAGCACGCCCGCCACCACCGTTATCACCATCATCAACAGCACCGCATGTCGTTCATGGCGTCGCCCACCACAGACACGCACCCCACAATCAGCACCAGCAGCAGTAACCTGTCCCCCACCACCGCACGGACGTTTGCTGTTTGACGTGAGATCAATGGAACGGGATTGATGCAAGCGTTACAGTTACATTTGTATTTGCTCACTGGATATTTGACCGCCGTTGATTTATTGGGGATTACTTGGCCTGTAGTCGTCTTCACAACAATGTAACCGAACCCATACCAGCCAGAGCCAAGAAAAAAGGAAGCAAGCAAGCAAAGCAAGCAAGGACAACGATCAACATGCGTCATGCATTCACACACACATTCACATTCACACACACACACACATTCACATTCACACACACACACACACACTCGCACTCGCACTCGCACTCGCACACGGCGTCAAAATCCAAACAAACCCAAAAGGCGAGCGCGCCCACCATCAGCAGCAAAACGCGTGTTGACTTTTCACGAATACCTTTCCATAATTATCTCCACTTCTGCCTCCACCACCACCGCAAACAAACCACGCCAATCCCCACAGCACATCGTCCCTTTGTCACCCACCTTGTTTCGATCAAGTGCTCACGAGGTACGGGTGTGTCCCGTCTTCTCACAGCTTCTCTTGGCTTGGCTTGCTGTGGCTGATCAAGCAGCCAGCACAACACAGCAAAGACACACGTGCAACGAGACACACTGCTGCTTTGTGCTGTGCTTCACACAACAGCAAACAAACCACAAACGCATACACACAAACCACACAAACCACACACACACACACAAGCGCTTCAACGAGCACATCATGGTGCTGTTTGCGTGGCGTGTAGACATGCCACGCCGCTGCGGCCATACCCCCAGCACCAGCAACAACAACAGCACCAGCAACAGCAGCAAACCAAGAGCAAGGACACCAGTGGCGCTGGCGCTGTTGGTGTTGCTTGGGCTGCTTTGTACGCTGGGTGCTGCACAAGATACAACCACAACCTACTGCTTGGACGACACCGTGCTCGGCGCATGCGATGGCTTGGCGACAACCACCACCAACTCCACCGACTGCAGTCAAAGCACTTTGTGCTCGTGTGTAAACGACGCCCTTGTGCCCGAGGAAGGCCCGCCGTGCATCTGCTCTGAGGAGCACTACGAAGACAGTAGCCAGTGCTTGCCGTGCACCTCAGAGTGTTCCACGGACCAGTTTGAGTCCCAGGCATGCACGCCAACCCAGAACCGCCAGTGCCAAACGTGCACCGCCTCCTGCACCGAGGGCAAGTACCTTACCCCCTGCATGGCCACCGCTGATGCCCAGTGCGTGGATTGCACCATCTGTGATACCGATCAGTACGAGATTACGGCGTGCACCACGAACAGCAACCGCGAGTGCACCACCTGCACAGTCTGCAGCAGCAACCAGTACCAGGTTGCCGATTGCAGCGACTCCGCCGATCGCATGTGTGCAAGCTGTACCACCTGCACTGGTGACACATATGCGTCCACGCCTTGCTCCGAAGAGGTGGACACAGTGTGCTCCGACTGCTCGACGTGCACCGACACGCAGTTTCTCACGGCCGAGTGCACCCCGACCTCCAACACCATGTGCGAGGACTGCAGCACCTGCGATGAGGACCAGTTTGTCACGGCCAACTGCACGGATACAGAGGACACACAGTGTCAGGCGTGCACCACGTGTGACCCAACGGAGTACCAGAGCGTGGCGTGCTCGGCGTTTGCGGACAGCGAGTGTCTCCCCTGCACAACGTGCGAGGACACCGAGTATGTGCAACAGCCCTGCACAGATGTCACAGACACGGTGTGTATGGCCTGCTCCGTGTGTGATGCGCCCGAACAGTTCACCGCCACCAACTGCACGACATCAGCGGATACTATGTGTAGCGACTGCGCCACGTGTGGTGCCACGCAGTTTGAGACGACCGCGTGCACGCAGTGGAGCAACCGCGAGTGCCAGGACTGCCTCGAGTGCAACCCTGGCGAGTACCAGACCCGCAACTGCACGGAGACGGCGGACAGGGAGTGCGCACTGTGCTCCCAGTGTGACAACGATGAGTACATCAGCGTGGCCTGTGGCGTGACAACGGACACCGTGTGCGCCGATTGCGCCGTTTGCCGCAGCGACCAGTATGAGACCAGCCCCTGCACAGAGGTTGCAGATCGCACGTGTGCCAACTGTACCGAGTGCGAGCCAGGCTTCTTCACGTCGCGCGAGTGCAGTGCAACGCTGGACCGTAACTGCACCGCGTGCCGCACGTGCGCCGATGACGAGTTTGAGACCGTCCCCTGCACTGCAAGCAGCAACCGCGAGTGCCAGGCGTGCAGCACCTGCGACCCGACGCAGTACATTCTGCACGCGTGCAATGCGACCGCCAACACGGTGTGCGACGTGTGCTTGACGTGCGAACCGGGCACGTATGCAACCGGTGGGTGTGATGGCGTCAACCAGCGCACGTGCGGACCGTGCACGCAGTGTGACTTTGACAACGAGTATGAAACGCACGCGTGCGAGCCGCTTGCAGACCGCGTGTGCACCAACCTGACCGTGTGCGATTACGACGCCATGTTCATGTCTGTGATGCCCACGGCCACCACCGACCGCGAGTGCACAGCGCTCACCGTGTGCGACACGGCCACGCAGTACGAATCGACACCCAAGACGGTGACGAGCGACCGCATCTGCTCCCCCATCAGCAGCTGCGACGCCGGCGAGTTTGAGACCCGCGCGCCAACGCCAACAACGGACCGCGTGTGCGCGCTCTGTCCTGCGGGCACGGTTGACGACAACGGCGACGGCCTTGGCGAGTGTGTGCAGTGCCCCGCTGGCGTGTACACCACCAACGGCACAGTTGGGCCCTGCAGCGCCTATCAGTGCCCGGTGGCGACGGCCGATCTGGACATGAACCCGGCAACCGCGTGCGACGACTGCAACGGTGTCACCAACTACCAGAACGAGGAGGGCAAGACAACGTGCAAGGTGGTGAAGGATTGCCCGCCCGGACAGGAGGAGAACTCGCCGCCCGCACCCAACGCAGACCGCACGTGCCGCTTCTGCGTTCTCTCGCGCACCTACAAGCCGACAACGGGGCAGGCGCCGTGCATGAACACTACGACGTGCCCGCCTGGCATGGAGGAGACGACCCTGGCCACGCGATCGAGTGATCGCCAGTGCACCATGTGCGCAGACGGCAAAGTGAAGGAGGACCCTGGCCAGTCCACGTCGTGCGTGCCGCATTACATCTGCCCGGCAGGCCAACGCGTAAGTGCTCCGTGTGTTTCGCTCGTTGTGTTGTTCGTGTTGTTCGTGTTGTTCGTGTTGTTCGTGTTGTTCGTGTGTGTGTGTGTGTGTCTGTCTGTCTGTCTGACCGACTGTCTGTCTGTCTGTCTGTCTGTGTGTGCGTGATCGTGTTTGTTCATGTGTCTGTCTCTGTACGCGTCTACCTGCTCGTCCGTTGTTGTGTCTCTGTCCATCTCATCATCTTCCTGTCCCCTCACCATCAATTCCTCCCTCCCTCCATCCTCTCTGTCTCGTCACCACCTGGACAGGAATCTGCGGCCCCCACAGCGTCCACAGACCGCGTGTGCGAGGATTGTCCTGTCGACTTCTTCAAGACCAGCCCTGGGCAGGACCCCTGCCTGGAGGTGGACGTGTGTTCGCAGATGGAGTATGAGCTTCGTGCGCCAACTACATCCCAGGACCGGCTGTGTGAACCCATCACCGTGTGCACCTCCGAGCAGTGGCAGTCGACGGAGCCAACAGCAACCAGCGACCGCGTGTGCGAAGCGTGCTCAACGTGCCCAGAGGGTCGCTTAGAGGTGCAGCCGTGCACGCCAACCTCCGACCGCGTGTGCGAGGACTGCTCAGCGTGCACTGAAGGGGTTCAGTTCATTGCACAGGAGTGCGGGGTTGACGACACGGTGTGCCAGGACTGCCGCACGTGTCTGCCCACGGAGTACGAGACGGCCAGCTGCCAGCTCCGTCGCAACCGCCAGTGTGCTGCGCTCACCCGGTGCACGGGCAACGAGTATGAGGAGACGCCACCCACGGCCACCGCAGACCGGGTGTGCCTTGACCTGACCGTGTGCACGTCGCTCCAGTACGAGTCCCTTGCTGCGACAGACACCTCGGACCGAGAGTGCACGCAGCTGACGCAGTGTGTGCCCGGCCAGTATGTGTCACGCGCGCCAACCTCCACCACAGACCGCGAGTGCACGGTGTGCGCGGAGGGAACGACGGACCACGATTCCACCGCGTCCACGCCGTGCCAGTCGTGCAGCGCAGGCACGTATGTCCCTGAAGGGTCGGCGGGCGCCTGCAGTACGTTTGTGTGTCGTGCTGGCACCATTGACGATGATGAAGACGCGTCCACGGCGTGCGTGTCGTGTGTGTCGGGCGTGTCGCACCAGCCCGACGCAGGCCAGACCGCCTGTGTCCCCGTCACGGTGTGCGCACCTGGGTTTACGGAGAGCATCGCTCCGACTGCAGTGCGTGATCGCGGATGCAGCGCATGTGCCATGGGCAAGTTCAAGGCAACGCCCGGGTCAGATGCGTGTGAGGACTGGGCTGTGTGCAGCATGAGCACGCAGTACATTGCGCAACACCCCACTTCCACGTCGGACCGCGTGTGCGAGGACATTACGGAATGCGACGCCATCACGCAATACGAGACGGTTGAGCCTACGGCCACCACAGACCGCAAGTGCACAGCACTCACCACGTGCAGGGCGGACACGGAGTATGAGTCTGTTGCTCCAACGCCAACCACGAACCGCGTCTGCAAGACGCTGCGTGTCTGCTCCGGTGACGAGTTTGAGGTACAACGACAAAGATTGTGTGCACATATGTGTGTGCGTGTGTGTGTGCATGTGTGTATGAGCGTGTGGGTGGTGTTTCTGTGTGATGCCATGTCGTGTGCGCACGCGTTTGTGTGTTTGTGTGCGAAAGGGGGGGGGGTTCCAACTGTGCCCGTGTGTGATGTACTGCTCGTAAGCTTTCCCACTGTTTTCGTTTCATCTCACCCATTCCCCTCTGCTTGCGCAGGCCACCGCGCCCACAGCCACGAGCGACCGCGTGTGTCTGCCCGTGCAATCGTGCGACGACGGCTACTTTATTGAAGCCGACGCAACCCCAACCTCCGATCGCGTGTGCACGCTGTGGACCGTATGCGATGCAGACGAGTACCAGAGCGTCGCCCCTTCCCTGTGAGTGCTAGGGGTCTGGCGTGGGGCAAGTGGAGTTACCAGCACGTGGTTTGTCTTGCTGGCAATTCCTACGCCATCATGCTGCTGAGTCTCTGCTTGTCGTTGTGACTCGCTCACGCCCACCCTAACGCTCGCACCACAATGAAACAAACACACACACAATCAACCAATCAAACACACAAACACACACAAACACACACAATTAATGAATGCAACACCCCCCCCCCCCTCTCAACACACACACACACACAATTAATGAATGAAACACCCCCCCCCCTCTCACACACACACACACACACACACACACACACACACACACACACACGCACACACAAACATGCATACAGGAACCGCGACCGCGAGTGCACGAAGATCAGCGCGTGCGTGGACGGCACGTACGAGACGGCATCGCCAACACAGACAACGGACCGACAGTGCGCAGACTGCCGCACGTGTGCAGCGGGCACGTTTGAGTCGCAGGCATGCACCGCGTCAACCAACAGGGCGTGCACGGCCTGCTCGCCGTGTGCGGAGGGTGATGCGTACGAGATGCAGGCATGCACACCTACAAGCGACCGCGTGTGTAGCCCTTGCTCCATGTGCATGGATGGGTTCTTCATCGACGCAACGTGCACTGCACTGGACAACACGGACTGCTCCCGCTGCTCCCGCTGTGCACAGGGCAGCTACCAGACTCAGCCGTGCGGCGCTGCTGCCGACACGCAGTGCACCACATGTCGCACGTGCACGGCTGGCGTGACGTTTGCCACTGGCGGGTGTGTCAACGAGCTTGACACGGAGTGCACGCCCTGCAGCGCGTGTGGCGCAACCGAGTTTGTGTCGCTGGCGTGCACGCCCACGACCGACACGGGCTGCACCGCTTGCAGCGTGTGCCCGATTGGCAAGCACATTGACCAGGCGTGTGGCGAGACCACCGACACGGTGTGTGCCGAGTGCGGCAACGGCAAGTACCAGGATACGCCCGGCGCCCAGGCATGCAAGGACTGCACGTCATGTCAAGCAGGAACGTACATCAAGTCCCCGTGTGGTGTTGCGGTGGATGCCGTGTGCGAGGAGTGTGAGAGCGGCAGGTACCAGGACCAGTCGGACAAGGCCTCGTGCAAGCGATGCAGCGTGTGTCCCGCAGGCAAGAAGGAAGTGCAGGCGTGCACGGCGTCCTCCAACACGGTGTGCCAGGACTGCGAAGACGGGTTCTACCAGGACGAGGGGGATCGCGCCACGTGCAAGCGCTGCAGCCGCTGCTCGCCGGACGAGTACGAGGAGCAGGCGTGCACCAGCACGAGCGACACCGTGTGCGTGGCGTGCACGACGGGGTGCAGCCCGGGCGAGCGCGTCACGGCATCTTGCAGTGACACCGCCGATCTGCAGTGCTCCGTGTGCCCGACGGACGAATTCCAGGCATCGGATGACCACCTCGACACGTCATGTCTGACGTGCAGCACCTGTCGCCGCGGTCAGTACGTCACCCGCTCCTGTACTCGCACGCTCGACCGCACGTGCGCGAGCTGCGACCCTGGCGCGTACTCTGACGCGGAGAATGCGCAGGAGTGCGCCAAGTGCGGACACGGCACGTACCAGGAGCGACCGGGCCAGACATCGTGCACGGAGTGTGTGAGCGGCACGGCGTCGTCCGTGACGGGCGCCACATCGAGTGACGTGTGCGCGCCGTGCGATGTGGGCCAGTACCAGGACCAGACTGGGCAGTCCGTGTGCAAGCGGTGTCCAACGGGCACGGCAAACGGCATCACGGGGGCAACGTCGCTTGACGACTGCGTGTCATGCTCGCTTGGCTCGTACCAGGACGAGAGCGGGAAGGGCACGTGCAAGGAGTGCCCTGCTGGCGCATACCAGGACGACATGGGGCAGACCGGATGCAAGCAGTGCGCACGTGGCAAGTACTCCAACGTCGTTGCGGCCACCACCGTCAACGCGTGTCAGGACTGTCGCCAGGGCTTCTACCAGCCACAAAAGGGCCAGACCTCCTGCGTACCGTGTGCTGTGGGCCATTTTTCCACAACAACACGCGCCATTTCCGGCAGCGTGTGCCAGGCGTGCGCGGAAGGGTCATACCAGGACCAGGATGGTTCAAACTCGTGCAAGATGTGCCCACGTGGCACGTTTGGGTCTGTGACTGCAGCCACGTCGGTGGACGATTGCTCCTCGTGCGCGGCAGGCAAGTACCAGCCAGAGGTTGGACAGACGGCGTGCATCGAGTGTCCACGCGGCACATATACGAATGACATGCGCCAAACCTCGTGCATTCCCTGTGACGAGACGGAGTTCCAGGACAAGACGGGCCAGGAGGCGTGCAAGCCGTGCATTGCCTGCCTTGATGGCTACACGGATGTTGGTGGCTGCAACCGCACCCACGACCGCATCTGTAAAGGTGCGTAACACTACTTGTGCCTGTATGTGTGTGTGTGTGTGAGTGAGTGAGTGTGAGTGAGTGTGAGTGTGAGTGTGAGTGTGAGTGTCTGTATGTATGTGTGTGTGTGTTTCGCGTGTGTGTGTGTGCGTGTGCGTAAGTGTGTGTGACTGTGAAGCCGCAACAGCCACTGCGTCCTCTGCCTGCTTGCTTTGGACTGTTCGTCGCCTTTACATATTCGTTCACGCTCTTCTTGCACTCACAAATTTGCTACGCCTTGCCTGGCCCCTCTCTCCCCCCTCCCCCCCCCTCCACTGCGTCCAGACATTGATCCCCCCATGATTGTGATTGTGGACAGCAACAACAACGACATTGCGGACATCTACATTGTTGAGGCGACAGATACAGGCGACTACACGCCCCTCCAGGCGCGTGCGTTTGACGCAGCAGAGAAGAAGAGCCTGCCAGTCACCATCACGGGCGAGGACAACGTCAACACACGTAAGTTCTCTCTCTCTCTCTCTCTCTCTCTCTCTCTCTCTCTCTCTCCCTCTCTCTCTCTCCCTCTCTCTCTTTCTGTCTGTCTGTCTCTGTCTCTGTCTCTCTCTCTGTCTCTCTCTGTCCCTCTCTCTCTCTCTCTCTCGCTCTCTCTCTCTCTCTCTCTCTCTCGCTCACTCTCTCTCTCTGTCTCTCTCTCTCTATCTCACCCTCGCTACTCTCACTCTGGCTGGGTTTGTGTGTGTGTGACGGAGATATCGGTCGCGGGTCTGTTCTCTCTCTGTCTCAGAATCTATGTCTCTGACGCTTCTAACAAAAGGTGCGCGAACTCACTCTACAAAGTCTGCGATCACACTCACAAGGAAAATGAGGGATGGGGTAAGGGATGGGAAAAAAGAGAAGAAGTTAATGTCCAATG